TCGCGTAAACTTACACGGTCGGACTCGCACGCGTGTACTAGCTACGCTTACACTTGGCGCGAGACACCACCGTGTCTCGTGATCTGGTTGAAACACTTTTAATTTTGATAAAAATTTATCAGATATTGGTAATCTTTTGCGAATTTCCTGGGCAGCAGTTACGTAGAATTGCAAACAGTTCTCTCGAACATTTGCAACTACGTCTGCGTGTTGCAAATGTTGTTCTGTCAAATCGGTAAGGTACATTTTTCACATTCAATTCCTAAAATTACTTCGTTTAACGATTTTTTATTTTCTTTATTTGAAAAATCGACATTATTTACATTATGTAACAGTTCTGGCTTTAAAAAATGTTTACAAATTATGACTAGGAACTGAAGTGACTTCGGTTGCAATAGCTGAATTCTTGTGTCTACCGCTTGGAAAAACGCGTTGAAAGAATTGAAATAATTTAAAATATATTTTAAAAATAATAAATATGCTTTTACATCAGGTTTTTGCATTAGAGATAATAAATGTTCTCCAGACTGCGTCTTTTCGTTCATTACCATTTCACTTAGAAAAAGATTAATAGTATTCCAATATTCCACAAGTCTTTCAATACATGTATGACGAGCAAGCCATCGTGTGTCGGACAGCTTTAGAATTTTTCGGTGTTTTTCCTGAAAACATTCACTAAATTATTCAAAAATAGCAAATCGCTTGGGACTATAATTGATGTAAGTTGCTATTTTTTTTACAAATTCCTCGCAATAGTTTGGAATCTTTGCACATGCAGCATGTGCAACTAAGGCAGTGGAATGACATGCACATGAAAATGTTAATAAATTTTTACACTTTCCTCCAAGCTTTGTTTTAAATGATGAATATTTACCTGTCATCACGGACGCATTGTCGCATGATAAAGCAACAATATTATGAAATGGAATTTGGAATGTCCACATGTCATTTTAAAAGCTTCAAATAATTTCTCCGCGCTACTATCTTTTGCATCAATAACAATTAATTTTACTAATTGCGAGCGAATGTCTAAAATTTCAGGATCGACATACCGAACAAGAAACGTCATCCATTTTTTATTAGAAATGTCTGAGGTTTCGTCAATAAAAACACTGAATTTAGTGTTTTGAATATTTTCTACTACACGATTCGTTTCAAACGGACACAACACGTTTGCAATAATTTTTTGACATTTAGTCCGACTCATACTAATGCTTTGCAATATCTTAGAATCTTTTCCTATATGTTGAAAAAATTTCAGCATTTTTTCTGCAGTTTGTTGCGAAATGCTGTTTTCGGCGACGAATACAGCGAATCGAACTTGTGCTATTTTCGATTGCTCATCAAACGGCAGAACTGCTTCATTCGTTACATTTATACTTTCGTTACTTTCTTTTATATTTTCACTGTTTTGTGCAACAATTTTTCTATATATCAGCTCATTTATCGAATATATTTATCATCATGCAGAATCCGCAACACATTAAAAAATTGTTTAAAAAAAAAACAGCAGGCGGTTCACATCCAGGGTCAGGAGCCGCTCACCGCGTCGATGCTAGCCGCGGCACCGCCTCAGGAGCAAAAGCAAATGCTAGGGGAGCGATTATTCCCTCTGATTCAATGCATGTATCCACAACTGACCGGTAAGATCACCGGTATGTTGCTGGAGATTGACAATAGCGAGCTGCTTCACATGCTGGAGCACAGCGAGTCCCTGAAGGCCAAGGTCGAGGAAGCTGTGGCTGTGTTACAGGCCCATCAGGCCAAGCAAGCGGTCGCGCCGAAAAAGGAATAAGCGTTATTTCGTTAATCCTTCATTTTTAATTTGTGAGAATAAATCCCGATTGTTTTTGAGTTTGATTCGGTGTACACGCGGTGTTGTGTCTTCATTTATTTTTTATTTTTCTGAATTTATCCAATTTAATCATTTAAGTATGTTCATGTAACGAATTTACTTTCAAAGACGTAACCGGCAACTTCAGAGTGACAGTTGCTTGGGAAATTTATGGAGTGTATACTCTTTTCACGATGTAAAATTTTAGGAAAGGGGACTTGCAACACACACTGGGAAAGATAGGTATTCGATTTACCTTTGAACACGGTGAGTTGTGTAGATTTATACATATACAAAATCACGGGAAACGATCGTTCGCCTAGCGTTTAGTTACCGAGAGAAGTAAAGTGTAAAAAAATTTTCCAATCCTAAAATTTTACAATAATAAATTTTTGTTTCAAG